AAGGCGACACAGAGTTGATACAAGTCTGGGAAGCGGTCATTCCATTCGCTTCTGTGGACGTGCTTTAAGACAATCACTTTCTCGACAGTCGAGCGGATCTGATTCCACGTCGGCTCGAACTCCACGTGCTTTGGCTTCAAAGACATCACCACTGGATGTGTCTCTCGGATGTGTGTATATATGTGTGGACTTCGAGATGGATGTGTCAATCAAAAGACTGGATCAGTTGTAGAGTCGGTATTGATTTGAAGAGTATTGACAACAATGGGATGTCTGGACGCGTCTATTGGTTTGTGTCAATGCGTGCGACGATGTCTTCGGGTGTGTTGTGTGGGAACCGCTGATTGTGACAGTTGTTGTGGCGATCAGTTGAGCGCTGGTCTGATTGTATGACTGGATGTGTGGATGAAATGCATGTTTCAAATTGAAATCAATAGCAAATGTGTCGCCATTTATGCAATCATTTCGTCAAAACTTTTTTGCAGTCCTTTTAATACATTTTACTCTCTATTATAAGCATAACATTCAATGCAAACCTCATATAACGTTACCATTAATGCCCGATAGGGTTGGCCCACGTTATCCCTTAAATCCTATGGTTTATGTAATTTTTGTGGCATTTTTAATGAACTCCTATATAGTGAACAATTTTGTGGTCATATGTGGTGCAAATGGTTTTAGTTTTGATTATCCGATGGATGTATTAGTGGTGATGATGTGAGTGAAGGGTTTGTTAAATGCTTTGCTTAATGTTAAACAGTATGTGAATTGTATGTAAGAATTGGTTGTGTTGTGAGAGTTGTTTGACTTTCAATAGGATTGTTACGCAATGTGTGCTAATTATAGCTTTGAATAACTGGAAAACTTTCTCCCGATTGAGGCCAACAAATACCGGCTTTCTATGCGATGACCGGCTTTTACTATACGTTTCCCTCTATATTATGGCTGCAATTGTGGGCTAAATATCAGACACTTTTCATATCAATTAATTTACTTAAAACCAGTAATTTTTAAAGTCTTGTTTTATTCGTAAAACAATCAGAAATTAATTTTTAATGCATTTTTTGCTCTCTCTCTCTCTCTCTCTCTCTCTCTCTCTCTCTCTCT